CGTCTTCTTTCTTTCTTTCTTTCTTTCTTTCTTTTTTTTTTTTTTTTTTTTTTTTTTTTTTTTTTTTTTTTTTTTTTTTTTCTCTCTATAATACAGGGTTTTTTTCTGATATGCTGTTTCTCTCTTCTTTTTTTCCGTCTTCTTCGGGGGGGGGGGGGGGGGGGGGGGGGGGGGGGGGGGGGGGGGGGATGGGATCAATGGAGATAGTTTGTGTGCTCAGTGCAGCAGGGTGCAGCAGAGAACCTTTCCCTTTCTGCAATCTGGCTGATCGAGTTTGACATGCCAGACAGGGGACGGTGACGCCGACAACGCTTCACCGGAGGAAGTAACCTGAGCGAGTGACAATTACCTGTCGAGTAGAAGTTTTGAGTCGTGGAATAGATCTATTCCAGGAGTGATGGAGAGAGGGAGGGAGAGAGGAAGGGAGGGAGAGAGGGAGATACGGAGGGATAGAGGGAGAGAGGGAGGCAATTCAATACTTCAGTTGGCAGGTTTGCAAAGTTTATGACCGGAAACCTTGTCGAAGTGAACTCGTTATTGTGATGTGGGTTTTTTTATTTTTATTTTTTTTTTAGTTTAGAACTTCAGAACTCTTTGTGAGTCCTTTGTGCGTGAGATTGCAGACAGCAAACCTTGCGGCATGCGGGAAAGTCTCTCGGAGAAGAGCGTTTGAACTGTCACGGCCTTGGCAACAAAAGTCGTGTGTTCAAATTTTGAAATTTTGAAATTTGAAATTTGAAATTTGAAATTTGAAATTTGTAAACACCATTGTTTCACGCGTACAATAATTGATCTGTCATAAACTATTGCACGAGCCGTTTCCATGGACAACCAATAAAACAGTGAAACAATGTTTTATTGGTTGTCCATGGAAACGGCTTCCGTGCAATAATTGATCTATATGTCTATCGCCATCATCATGCGGCGCTGTTGTCTTTGAAGAAATGCCACCATCAAACCCCTTGGGCCTGGCCAGTAGCGACGTGACATGTGTCCACTTCTGCTGCTTCCTTCTGCTTTTGAT